GGGGGAAGGGGGTGCTGGTGCAGAATGAGAAGTAGGGTGAGTAGGTGAAGTGAGAGGGATGATGAGTAGTGATTCTGACTTGGGTCTTCCTCAGCGTGCGGTGGTAGCTTCTGGAGAGTTTTGAGAAAAGGGGCTATGTGATCAGACATGCCTATTTCTGAGGTCAACCACCTCCCTACCCGCCCCAGCTGAGATGGAAACAGGATCTCCAGGGGAGGTGTGCCTTCCTTCAGCCACAGGGTTACCCAATAGATGGCTACCCAGGCCCTGCATTGGGTGCTACAGCCTCAGGAAGCCCACAGCCTGGTCTGGAAGGAAACATGGACAGGCTGCAGACCTAAACCAGGGCCGATTACAAGTCTGCACAGTGGAGGCCTAGAAGAGTGGGTGTTACCTCGGGGATTCAGAAGAGGAAGGTCTCCACAGATGGATGGGCTCTGGAGGGGAGCATCTTAGGCAGTGGGAGCCCCTGTGCAGAGAGGCATGGAGGTGTGTAAGAGCCTGGCATGCTGGGTACATGCCACGAATCAGGAGGAAAGGCCAGCAAGGTGGATGGGGGCCAGAGGGCAGTCAGGCCTTTATCTGGCAGAGGATAGTGAGCCAGTGATAGACCTAAGGACAGATTTGTTTTAGGAAGGCCTGGGTTGCCAGGTGAAGAATTGATGGGAGGAGGCTGGATTAAGAGAGGAGATGCTGGTGAGAGACTAGGGAAGAGAAGAGATTGGAGGCACAGCAGTGGAGCTGGAAGCCTTAGCCATTATCTCATACTCAGGCGAAAGAGATAGCAGGGCTAAGGCTGGATGCCCGGAGGGCTGCGGCTTCCAGGACCGGGCCTGTGGCTTTTCCCTTCTAGCTGCCGCCCATGCCGGGCAGGACACCTGGTCCAAGTGCCTCCTCTCCTCCAATTCGGCACCTCCTTTTCCACCTTCATCCTCCAGCCTGCTCCCTAATGGTTCCCATTCTCACCCTCCTCCTCATTATCTTTTCCCTTCTTGGGTACAGAGCCTACAGATCCTGTGGCTTCCATTTTTTTATTTGATTCCTATAAAACTCTGTGACGTGAGAATTCCTTTTACAGGTGATGTTAGGGGAGGCTCAGAAAAGGGAAGTGACTTGCCGAGCGCTCTCTGATCCTTCTGACTCCAGATGACTTGGGGGCACTGGCCAATCACTGAGCCCCTGTCGGCCTCTGTTGTGCTTCGAAGCCACCCAGACCAGAATGTGGCAGCTGTCGTTTGTCAAGGCCAGCCCAGACCTGGGTTCTGGCCAATGAAAGCAGCAGTGTCTTTGGGTAGAAAGGGCTGAGCCACGGGAGTTGGGAGACGTTTGGGACCCACACTTCTATTGATTCTCTTGGGTGACCTTGCACAAGGCCCACTCATCTTGGAGCCCTGTCCTCATCTGTAGAACGAGGGCAGTGAAGCCAGCCTGCCTTCACCACAACTCCATGTGGCTACCGCGACACTCCAAGGAGGCCATGCTTGTGAGCATTCTTGGCAATGGAAGAGGTTATGCACAAGGAGCACTCCCATTTCCTGCTCTCTCTTAGGCCCAGAATCCTGATGGCCCTGGCCTACCATTTATTGGCAGAGGATTGTGTGGTCAGCATCCTGGGTTCCTCATCCCAGCAGCAGCTTAAATGTACTCTACACTCTCGCCCTGGGGAATCTCACCTCAGCCCTGTCTTCGAGGAATCCCGAACATGCTTCCATC